GTTTTCCATTTATATAGGATTCTCTATTGAGAAAGAGATTTTTTGTTTTTGTTTTAGTCCGTACTGCATAAGAAAAGTGCTATTTTGGATTTGGAAAATACCAATATACTTTAACATTAGAGGATTAGTTAACGTAAATTAGTACTTTAACAATATTACTGTACTTTTACTGATGACATATTAGTATGAGTATAAAAAAATTTAATTTTTTAAAAATAAGATTTTAAATTTAAATTTTATAAAAAAAATGTGTATAAAGTTTTTTTTTTTTTTATAAAATTTAACTCAATTTAACTCCAAATTAAAAATACCAAGGAATAATAAAAAGAATTATTGTATTCTTTTACAATTTAGACAAAAAAAAATATTTTATTTATATATTTATTTATTTTAGTATACTGTTTTTCAAGTTGGATTATTACAAATTACAAAATAAAAGTGAAGAACCCCTAATATGAAATAGTATGCTTTTTATTTAAAAATTTATATTTTACATTTTAATATAGTTCAAACAGTAAAATACTTTTTTTTTTTTTGGCTAATGATTTCTTTAAATTCCCATAAACCAGAGGGTATATTTGAAACTTTAAATCAGGGTGCAAAATGAGCATACTCCAAACTAGAAGGGCAAAGTTCCATTTACTCTAAAAGTGTGCAATGAAAAATAGTAAAATTACCCTTTAAACTAGTCCACCGCAAGGAGTACGGACTCCTCGCCTCCCGCTTCTAACTTCCATTTAAAACTTAGATTCCGGATTCCGTTTCGTAATCCTTCCCTCTGTTTTTAAAACTCTCCGATTATTCCTTCTCAAGATTTTGAGATTTTCAAGCGTAATTTCGACGATTGGCGGTTGGAATCTAGTTTCTGATTGACTTCCGAGATGGTGAGTTATGTTACTGAGAAAGATGTGGAGAGAATTCTGTCGATTGAGGTCGCAAAGCTGGCAATCGACGATTTTGAAGGAGAAGACGGCGCTACAAACTGCAAATTACCGGCTGGTATGGAGGTGGCCAGAGTTGAGGAGACAGAATGCAAGACTCCGACAGCTAAAGAGGCGAGGATACCGGAAACGCTCACGTGCCCGCCTGCGCCGAGGAAGCGCAAGCTGTTTGGCGACGGGAGTGAACCTGAGAAAATAACGGATGTGAAGGAGAAGCTCTTGGCTGTTCCAGAATCAACACTGTTTGGTAGCTGACCTTGAAATGATTACTGACGGGTTAGACTTCTAAAATCTTTTAATTTAGGAGAAAAAAATTAGGGTTTCATGATATGTTCGTTAGAAAAAAAAATCCCAATTTGACTGCAATACAATATACACAGAAATGACAGGCGTGTCATATTAATTCTCAGTCCATATCTATAAAGAATTTGACCTTAATTAATTATTTGATTATCTTATCTCTATATATTTAATATGTCTAATGTTTGTTGTTATTCTTGAGGATTATGATAAATCTCAGTCTGGAAAATTATCATATAGTCATATTGCATTGAATGCATACGTCAACAGTGAATCTCAAATGAGATTTTTTTTAGAATAGAATGGAATTTTGTGACGAAGTTCTTTTAATCATTAATGGAGTCTATCTCATGAGTCAAAGTATGATTATACCCACTTTAGATTTGATAACATTTTGTTCTTAAAAATTCGTCCTAACCATTATTATTCATGTCAACAATTGGATTACAAAATTACAGAATGACATTAAATAACTGTTTGGAGTTTGTGGGAGTTTTACTGAGGTATATTAAAACCTCTTGAGGATGTTGATAACTCAGGAATTTTATTTTTATTGCAATTGTTGACATCTAAGTGACAGAGACTGGTAGCATACATGACTCAGTTTTAAGACGCTATTGTCTTCATTAATTACATGTTCAGAGGTTGAGGGACAATAGGGAGGCCATGTTGAGGCTGTAAAAGTAAAGTAGTCTGCGGCAGCATGTTTGTACTCCGGGAAGAGGGAGAAAGAAAACGTTTGGAGAATCAAGGCAACCACAGTTTTTGGCTTCCAACATTGCAGAGTTCTGTCCAATACAAGCCCTTGGGCCAGTGGAAAAGGCAAGCAGAGCATTTGGGTCTTTTGCTGCATTAGATGTGCCATTCATGAATTTCAAAGGATTGAACTCATTTGCGTCCTCTTCACAATACTCTTTGCTTGTCTGAATTTTGACAAGCGGCTTGACTAAATATGTATGCTTTGGAATCATTAAATTCCCCAGTGTCATGTCTTCTGATGCTTCTCTAATGGTGGTTATTACTGGGCAGTCCAGCCTTAAGACCTCCAGAAGAAGCATGTTCACCTAACAAGATGATTGCTAGGATCAGTCTTCGGCAATTGAGGCTATTCATTGAGAAGAGCAGAAATGTATGATATCTTACCAGTTTCTATATCTGGGATTCCTGTTCCACACTTGTTCAACGCCTCTTCTCTGAGTTTTCCTTGCCATTCCTGATGTTTGCTTAACATGAATATGGTCCAGGTCAACAAGGTACTCTGGTGGTCTCATGTCCTGAAATGAAGAATGTTTTGCATTCTTCCATGATTTCATTCATGTTCAACTTGAGGTCACCTTTAGCTTGAGTGGCTTCTGAAGATGCAATCATCACACCAAGTAGATCATCTCCAAAACATTCTGGAGAACTGCTGGTTATAGTTCTAGAATTTTGCACCTTGTTCTCTATGATTTGTCTTAAGGTTCTCTTGATTTTCCTGTCAAGCCTTCGTATCTGAAAATTGGATGGAGTAGGTAGATATCTAAAAGAAAACAAAGAAATACAAAAGGTTGAAATGCTTTATCATGAATTCCAAATTTAAAGAAGAATATTAAGTCTTCAAATTTTGATAAATACTGGCTGCTTTATCATGAATTCCAAATTTAAAGAAGAATATTAAGTCTTCAAATTTTGATAATTACTGGCTGCCAGAGATGAAAATGTCAGAGCTTTCAAAAATATTACACCACCGCTAAAGCTGTATTTGTGTCTGGAACACCTTTCCTTGCGTATAGTTACCTCGAAAGGCAGTATGGGCAATTATGTCAGCAGAAAGTTTTTTGAATTCTTCGCTCATTTCTATCTTTTTGGATCCATCCTCAGTCATGGTAGGCAGATCTTCCCACTCTTCAAGCATGGTGATGGCACAAGCTGCCGTTCTTTTTACCTTAACCTTGAGCTTTTCGAGGGAGAAGGCAGGGTTGATGATTCTTTTGTGCCAAACCCAGTCTGATCCTTCAACAAATATCAATCCTTTCCCTACTAGTGTCATAACTGCTGGTGGGACCAATCGAGGTTTTACGTAGAACCCATACTTTGATAATATTTGTTTGGCCAGCTCGGAGTCTGAAATTCATAGAAAAGGCTTCCATCCATGCCAATACAGAAAAGCCTCTCCCGTGACTTTAAAATTGAATGTCGGTGCACCCATTGTCAACAAACTTGAGACAGGTAAAGAAAGGAAGAAACTGACCACATTCCAAGGACCATGTATGGTAGTGGGGAAGGACCTTTTGAACTACATCCTTTGAATTTGAGTCAAGAATCATTTCTCTTGTAGTCTTCTTCATCCTCCTCATATCATTAAGAAAACCAATGAGAAGCTTGTAAGGCGGGCTAATGATTCCTTGCTTCTTCAATCTTTCAGTCAACCAATATGGCCACTGGAAAACAACCCAGAAAAGTTGCAGAAGCATTGAGACTAGGAACATAATCATCAAAGCAACCATGGCAAAAATAACAACAGAGCCCATTTTGAGAGTGTACTAGCGGTAGTAACCGCCTCTGCCTGTGAATTAACTATAGTGTGATAAACATTGTGGCACGGCTTTTATAGGCACAAGGATAGGAGGTCTGTTGCGTGGCTCCCTCATGCATTGTGTTGTATGAGATATGATGTCACTGCTAATGCCAAGGCAAGAAATTAACTGTAATCTTGTGAAAGGAATTTGTTTGGTATTGTTTTTGGAAAGAAATTAATCTGACAAAATAATAGGATCTTGTTTGGAGTATCTTAAATTTTTGTGGGGGTTGAGATAATTTATTAATTTCTATACAGCCGGGAGGTCGATTCCAGGTTGAAAACAACAATGCAAGGAATGGATGCGGATAGTGACAAAAATGCTGTCACATTATTTTAAAGTTTGTAGCAGTTGTTTGATTGTTTTTGATCAGTTTGTTTTTATGAATGTAGTGCAGTTAACTTTCAATTTTTATCAGTTTGTTTTATTTCCTTGTAAAGAGCAGATTTATTCAATGAAAATCTCAGTTCTGCACTTATCAGATCTTCATCTCTTTGTTCAAAAACTAACAATTGGTATTAGAACCCTTTTGTTCTTAGAGGGACTATGTCAACTGAGTGTAAACATGTGAGGGAGTGATTTCAACCATGGAACCCTCTAATTTCACACCCCAAAACTCCATACTTTACAAGCCAAAACTACTCCGCTTGGTCTGTGAAGATGAAGGTGTTAGGTTCTCTTTGTATTTTGATGATGATTTAAAACTATGATTTAAAGAGTTTAACCTATTTTTGTGCTAAGTGTGCAAGAAAGCTAATTCAAGGATTCTAATCTTTCCCCACAATTATAATTAAATCATGTCCTTGTCCAAAGTTTTGGGTTCGAATCAATTGAACCAATCTCGTAGTTTAGTTTTTTCAAAAACAATTTGAATCAATATTTCTAGGTTTGAAGCAAAAATTTTGGAAGGTACACCTTTGGCTATTCAATTATCTATTTCATCTTAATGGGCCTTAAAGGGATCCAAATGACTAAGCATATTCCAAGACAAGTTAGAGTTTGTTATAGGAAGTAGAAAAAGGGTGGAATCTGATTGAAGCAATTGTGAGGTGGCTTTGAAGGGCAAAATATGCTTTAATTGCAAGAGCTCTTAACCAACTATTAAAAGGGCTTTAAAAATTAGATCTGGCAACACTCCTAAATGAAATTCTCCAGAAGAAGATAGAAAAATAGTGTTTGAAATTGAAATTGTACAAAATCTTCTTCTTCTTCTTCTTGTGAGCTTTTTGGGTTTATTGTCTTTGCTTACAAGGGTATTGTATTCTTTTTGGATTGGGATAATCCTTAAAGGGGTTGAATGGGTTGTTGAGATTTACTTGTGAGGGCTTAATCTTGCACCTTGAAGCAAGAGTGTGAGGGTTTAATCTTGCACCCGTAAGCCAAAAAATCCTAGTGGATTGAACTCTTGAGCAAGGAGGCTTGGGGAGTGGATGTAATTTGGGTTGGAGGAACCACTATAAATTACGGCTTGATACTCTTTTCCCTTTCTTTTTATTTTTCTGCACTTTATTTGCAAGATTGCAGTTAATCTTTGTTTATTTTGCACAATAATTTATATATTGGAAATTTGATTTACGTGTTAAAAGAAAAAGAAACAAGTTTTGGAGTAAATTGATAAGACCCAATTCACCCTCTTTTTGGGTAGCTAGCTAGGTTTAAAGAAGGCCCACCTAAGGGCATTTGATCTTTGGAATGTTAATGAAAATGATAGGGAACTTGTAGCCTTGCCGGAAAACCCAACCTTGAATCAAATTAAGAGGTATACAGAAGAGTCTACAAAGAGGTACAAGGCTTTTACGTGTATCCATGGAACTGTATCAAATGAAATTTTCAACAAAATTATTACTTGTGAGACAACAAAGGAAGCCTGGGACACAATCAAAGAAGAGTTCCAAGGAGACCAAAAAATCAAGGAGATCCAAATTAATAACTTGAGAAGGGAGATCGAGGTATTGAAGATGAAAGAAACAGAGACAGTGAAGGAATACTTAGATTGAGTGATGAAGACAGTGAACCAAATAAGGGTCCTTGGTGGAGAACTCAAAGACAAAAGGGTTGTTGAAAAAGTTCTTGTCAGCCTACCAGAAAAATTTGAGCACAAAATCTCCTCGTTGGAAGATTCAAAGGATCTTTCAAAGATGACTTTGAGTGAACTTGTTGGTTCTCTTCAAGCCGTTGAGCAAAGAAAGGCTATTAAACAAGAAAGTATGTTTGAAAGAGCATCTAAAAGAGCGTTTGAAAGAGCCTTCCTTATGATAGAAAAAGGAAAAGATCAAGTGAAAGAAGATGACAATCAAGTGATAGGTGGAAGTAAAAAGCAGTTTAACAGTAGGAAAGGAAAAGAAAAGAAAGAGTACCAGTACAGTAGGTTCAAAGGGAGAAGGGTCAACACCCTTTTTTGTTCTAATTGTCAAGTGAAGGGTCACTTGGATTATCATTGCTGGTTTAGACTAGAAGTGCAATGTAGAAAGTGTAAGAAGTTTGGCCATGTTGAAAGGGTTTGCAAGCAACAAGTAGATCATGTATAGCAAGCTAAAGTTGCTGAAATTGTTGATGAAGATGAAGAGAAGTTGTTCATGGCATCAAAGGTTGAGAAGAATTGTGTCGCTGTAGTGAATGGTGATTTATGGTCAATTGATAGTAGTTGCACCAACCATATGACACCAAATTTGAGTATTTTCAAAAGCAATGACAAAAGTTACTCCTTTAAAGTTAGATTAGGAAATGGAGATCTAGTGCAAGTGAAAGGCAAAGGTGTAGCTGCAGTAAAGACTTCTACAGGTATTAAATATATTCATGATGCATTATTTGTACTTGATATAAGTCATAATTTGATCAGTGTGGGCCAATTATTGGAGAATGGTTATGTTCTGAATTATCATGACAAAATGTGTGAAGTTGCGGATAAGATTGGTACTAGATTGTTTTCGGTAAAGATGTCTGATAGGAGTTTTTTAGTGGAATGGAAGAATACTAAGGTGCATGCTTATCCTAGTATTGTTGATGAATATGAAATTTAGCATAAAAGATTTGGCCTTTATAATTATAGTTCATTGAAATTGATGCATTCACATGAAATGGTTGTTGATTTACCTACAATAGAAGATTATGGTGCTGTGTGTGATATTTGTCAAAAAGGAAAGCAATCCAAATTTTTTTTTTCAAAGAAAAGTAATTGAAGGGCTATAGAACCATTACAACTGATACACTCTAACATTTTTGGCCTTATGAAAACAGAATCTATTAATGGGAGCAAATATTTTTTGCTGTTTATTGATGATTTTAGTAGGATGTGTTGGGTTATTTTTTGAAGCAAAAGTCAGAAGTGTTTAACAAGTTTATGCAATTTAAAGTTGTAGTTGAAAATGTGATTGGCAAGTCAGTGAAAGTTCTAAGAACAAACAATGGTGGTGAATATACCTCACTCTAGTTTGAGGATTTCTTGAAGAGCCATGGCATAAAACCCCAACTCACAGTACCATACAATCCTTAGCAAAATGGTGTTTGTGAAAGGAAAAACAGATCAGTTATGAATATGGTTTGGTGTCTTATGTTCGAACTTGCCAAGACAATTCTAGGCTGAGGCTGTAAATACTTTTGTATATCTGCTCAACAGAGCTCAAACAAAGGCACTTGATAGGAAGACACCATATGAAGTCTGGTTTGGAGTTAAACCAACAATTTGTCATCTCAAGGTCTTTGGTTGCATTTGTTACATGTTGAAGAATTTTCAAAATATTTCTAGGATTTGGGTTCGAACCATAAAAAGTTGGTTCGAAACAATTGCATAGAATGCGTTTGAGAAAGTGTAACTTTGGTTCAAATCATAATTATATGATTCGAACCATTTACGTAAAACCAGAATCCAGAAAGTTATGATTTTGGTTTGAACCACATTTATCTGATTCGAACCATTTATGTCAGAATAAGAGATAAAATTCAGATAAGTTTCTGAAGGGAGTGGATAACTTTGAAAAGCAACGCAACACGTGAGTTGGAATTCAAATCAAACCAAATGACTTTTGGAAGAGTTTCCAACGGATAAAAATTGACACGAAGTGTTTGTTCCCAATAGACATCTTGAAAAGAAGTGTCTATTCCAACATACATCTTGCCCTATAAATATGGAGTCATCTCTTCTTCTCTGGTGGAGTCTTTTTGAACCCAGAAATATCTAAATAAAATAGCCCCTTTTTGAATTGCGATTGCTCAAGAAATCCCTATACAAAAATTATTTTTTTGTCGCTTTCCAAAGGATGGTTCAGTGGTTGATCTTGCTAGTGCAAAGGCTAGATCAACAAGGCGCTTCATTGTATCCTATGGGCATTTCGGGTTACCCCTTTTGCATACCAAATCTGGTGGGGGTGAAATTAGCCTAAAGGAAAGTGGGATTTGCAGCACGCCTTGAAGCTAATGATCTAATGATTTATTTTCTAACCCCCTATTTCTCCAACAATCTTTAGGCTAAGTTTCTAAGTTTTTTGAGATCATGGCTTATTGGATAATTGAGAAGAAACTTGCGTTAAAATGCATGTGAAGCCAAGGAGATATGGTCTGCAACAATGGCAAAACAAAATGGATTTCTAGCACTTTAAATCGTGGGAAAAAAAAATGGTGATCAATCATAGATGAGGCGATGGTTGCTGGACGTTTCACAATAATAAAGCAAAGGAAATCTATTTTCATGAAAGATGAAACAATGGAGATATGATTCTGTTCATGAAGGAGGCAATTGAAATTTCCAAGTCTAGAGAGGATATGAAACAAAGATGAGCTGAGATTCACTGCAATATTGAAACAGGTACGAGAACTAGTAAAATGATAGAATAAAATAATACATTATGAAATTAGTAAGAAATTGAGATCACAACTTCTTAAATCATGAATTTTTCTGAGTTTTGGCACACGCACCATTTATATCATGAGCTGTTCATGCATGGGTGATAGTTCTCTTGTTAATGTTTAATTAATTATATACGAGGAGAAAACATCTCCTGGAGAATGGC